TGTGGGACGGGGGGGGGGGGGGGTGTCTCTCCATGGCTGTAGAGAGGTGCTTCTCAGGAACAGGGGGGAAAAGAGAGTTCTGTCATGTGCGTACTCTCCTTATATTGTGTCTGTACGGCCCTTGTGACTGATCCATCTGGTCACCAGGGAGCATGCTCAGACTTCCTTTTATCCAGCAAAGGAGCAGTCTGATGACTCATCACCATGTGATCCACGTTCCCAGACTTGCAGTTACATTCTCTCTCTCTCTCTCTCCATCACTCAGAGGAGAATGCAGTGTAGAGCAAGTTACAAACAAAGTGGCTAAGAGTTACAGAGGTTACAAAGTTGCAGCTGACAGGAAGCTGCTGAATTTATAAAGCAAAGTTGCGGAGGGTTACAAAGTTTGACAAAGGTTACAACGAGTTGCAATTTAAAGCCTTAGACCTTACAGATTAGTGTATTTCCAGAAAATGCATCCGTGTGTGAAATCAAGTAAGCTCAGGAGGAGACTTTTTTCTGCAACAGGCATGACCCACTGGGCATCCCTGTGCAGTGGGCAGTACAGCCAGTTCTAAGTCAATGTGGTGAGCCTGGCACTGGGATTTTGGGGAGGGGAGGAGCAAGGCAGGGAGATGGGGCTGGGGAGGAAGAGGGCAGAAGATGGCTCTTACCATGCGGTGTCCCTGCCCCGCTCTTGGTGAACCTGGTGCCGGGGTGGGGCAGTAGGTAGCACCGGGTGCCACTTGCCTGCAGGGCTTCCAACAGCAGGGGCTGCTCAGCAGTGGCCTCCAGATCCTGCAGGAGCCAAAGGGACATTTGCAGATGTCAGCGGGAAATCAGCCCCCCCATGGACCTGTTCAGCTCCACCCCAACCCCAGAGTCAGCTGTTGCCATGAACAGCCCGGCCCTGAACCGTACCCGGGCGATGTCTCTGAGATACTCCTGCCCCCCGGCTGCACCGCAGGGCTCCGAGAGCTGCCAGTCCCGCACCAACAGGTCCAGAGGCTGCAGGAGAGAGCACAGAGAGGGGTCACAGAGGGGCACGGTGGGGGGAGGAGGGGCAGAGCTGGCGGTTGCTTCCAGCCCTGGTTCTGGGGCTCTGTGGTGCTCTAGGAACAAAGACAATGAACAATTTGTCTGGCCGATGGGAGTGGGACCTAGAACCAGCAGGTCTGTATTCATTGAACAGCTGGGCTTTCTCAAAGGCACCTGCCTGCAGAGCCTCCTTCTACACCTGGAATCTCAAAATGTTTAGTTGTCAAGATGTAGTTTCCCCCACACACCCTTTCCTGCCAAAGAACGGCCATTTAAGTAGAGAAGGGCCCATTGGATTGTGTTGCTGTCTGGCTGAGGCATCATGTTGCCTTTTGTCTCCGAGGAACTGGTGTGTGGCCATTTCCCAGACTTCAAATATGTCTTAGTCATATCACAGAGCGGAATCTTACAATTTTACAGACAGTGCTGCCACACATATTTTACCGGAACAATAATGATCAGCAAATTATGAGTTTTCAAACGATACCTCACAAAGCTGTATTCAGTTCATCATAGTCCTGTAAAAGGGGTGAACAGAGTGGGGCAGACTGTCAGAGGGCATGATGGGAAATGAGGACGAACCTGAATTGATGGTAGATTGCAGGTTCCTCCAACCTCCTTTGCAACACGAAGAAACATCTGAGAGAAAAAGAGAGAGAAGGGTTTTTTCCCCACATTGAATAAAACACCGTCTCACAAATGACTGTAGTCCTCTTACTAAAGGGTTACGTCTAGACTGGCATGATTTTCCGGAAATGCTTTTAACGGAAAAGTTTTCCGTTAAAAGCATTTGCGGAAAAGAGCGTCTCGATTGGCAGGACGCTTTTCCGAAAAAGCATTTATTGTGGAAAAGCGTCCGTGGCCAATCTAGACGTGCTTTTCCGCAAAAAAGCCCCGATCGCCATTTTCGCCATCGGGGCTTTTTTGCGGGAAACAAATCTGAGCTGTCTACACTGGCCCTTTTGCATAAAAGTTTTTCGGAACGACTTTTGCCCGAACGGGAGCAGCATAGTAAAAAAGCGGCAGCCATTTTTATGCAAATGAAGCGGGGGGGATTTAAATCCCTGCTTCATTTGCAATTGCGATGTGTCTAGTTTGCATCCCTTTTACGGAAAAGGGACGCAGTCTAGACACAGCCAAGGTGTGTCTGTTTATTTTCTGGGAAGATCCCGTGTGCTGCAGTCTAGCCCCAGAGACGACAATTCCCATGAGCCCTGGAGGAAACGAGGAAGGAAGTGACTTTTTTGTGGGATCCTTTATTTTCTGGGAAGATCCCGTGTGCTGCAGTCTAGCCCCAGAGACGACAATTCCCATGAGCCCTGGAGGAAACGAGGAAGGAAGTGACTTTTTTGTGGGATCCGGGTCTCTCCATGTGTGTGGAGGAAGACTCAGCAGTCTGGACTCTTGCTTCTCTTTTTGGAGCAGAAAGGGAGCCAGACTGCTGTGGAGGAGTTTGATCCAGTTCAGGAGCTGTTATGTTGCAGTTACAGACTGGGACAGCGAGCCTTGGGAACTGGGATCTAGCAGGCTGCTTCTGATTGCCCTAGAGGGGAGGCCTTTTGGCTAGAAGCTACTCTGCATCCAGCACACAGAAGGAGATTGTGAGTAACTGGGCATCTTTGGTACAGTGCTACCTGGGACAGACCTCAGAGATACAGGCTAACTCTGGGTTCAAAGAAAGGCAGCGAACCAGGGCTGCTGCACAGCTTGGACCCACATACACACACACCACCTCCAGACAATCTCCACTATGGCTGCAGCTCTTCAAGTGCATCCACGCAAGCAAGAGTCCGGGACTCTGAGTCCAGGGGTGAGCACACTCTGGGGTGGGATAAATATTGGCTCTGCAGATGCCAACTTTATAAGTTCCTTTTACTTCTGTGTGCTTTGTTAATTGATGTTATTCACTGTTCATTTGTTTAACCCTGTTTCTTTAAGTGGTTAAGTAAAGGTTGTTCATTCTAACACAATCTATTAGATGTACATTATGTATGATTTGTAATTGTTGTTCTGGAGTTAGATCCAGTTTATTGCTGGAATGAGTTTATTCCTGGAGGCTCCCAAGGCACACCAGCAAGTGTGCACAGAGCCAGCCAGGTGGAGGCACCAGCATTGTATGTTCTTTTGGAGCAAGGAACTACAGCAAGGGGGAAATAGGGTTTTCCCCAACTAAACATCATCTCCACTGGGGTACTCAGGATCTCCTTTTATGTTAAAACCATCGGGTGCCCAGGCACACCTGTCAGTGTGACTGGGGATGGGCAGTTGCATCACCCAGCCATAGGGGGCGCTGCCTCCCACACCTGCAGCCCCTTAAATTCAGCCCCACAGCTCCTGCAGGCCCAGCCCTGCCCCCTGCCCTGCTGGTCCCCGTCCCTCCCTCCCTGCAGCCCCTGCCAGCCCAGCCCTGCCGGTGCCATAGGATCATAAAGCTGGACGAGACCTCAGGAGTTCAAGGTAGGACCCTTCCTCACTCCCACCCCACAGCCCCTCCGCACTCACCAGCCCCTGCACAAATTGTCCATATTCCCTCTTGGCATCTTCTATTACTTTGCTGTTTTCCTCGGCCACCTGTGGGGAAGAGGGGACAGGACGGGGGTGGGGACTGGATCATCTCTGTACCATGGGAGGTTACCTTATCTCCTGGGAACTGCCAGGGGAGGGCCGAACCAGATGTGGGGGGGCTGTTGTGGGTCCCCTCCTGGCCTTGCGCCATTGGCCACAGGCAGGCGGAGCTGGGGGAGATGAGCTGCAGCTGTTGGACTGGGATTTTGGGGTGTTCTCTCCGCCCCCCTTTTTATCACACACGCAGTGGGGACGCGAGGGGAAAACTCCCCCACTTGTCCTCTTTCCCCTCGCCCTGTGCCCGGGGAAGAGAAAGTATTGGAACCAAACACGAACCCGGAGAATCAACTTTTCTCCCTCCTGGGCTGACCCCCCCGCCCCACCCTCCCCATCAACACGCAGTGGGGACGCGAGGGGAAAACTCCCCCACTTGTCCTCTTTCCCCTCGCCCTGTGCCCGGGGAAGAGAAAGTATTGGAACCAAACACGAACCCGGAGAATCAACTTTTCTCCCTCCTGGGCTGACCCCCCCGCCCCCACTCCACCCTCCCCGTCACCCGGCTGTCCTGGGGCGCTGCCGCCCTCGGAATTTCAGCCCCCGTCTGTCCTCACGGGGCTCCCGCCCACCTGCCCAGCCCCCGTCGGGGGCGGACCCGGCCCAACGCC